CTGCAAAATCCTAAAATCCGCACAACCTCTGGTCCCAAACTTTGTGGATTTCTGGACTTCTACTGTATTAATTTTTTAGGGCATCATTAACCAAGTATGAGTTTGATGCTTTTTGTCTGTTATTGTTATTTTCAGGTTTAGTAAAATTGTGCAAATTTTGGATATATTTTTGATATTTATGTATTAGCACAACTACTTTCATAGAAGTCAGCAACCATGGGCATAAACATTTTATTGTTCAGAGGCCAATATTTAGAGTAAAGAAGCCATCGTAGGACAAGACACTTTATTTACATGAATAATGAATAAAAAGATCACACAAGAAATCATACTGAACATCACATAGCAAATAACATCTCACCATCTCCATACGCTCGAAGCTCCAATGACGAATGTGTCGGTAGAAGAGACAGCTGCGCCATCATAATTAATACGCATGCGCATAAGAAAAAACGTTCGCTTGCCTCTACCCAACACACCCCTCCTGCAAGCAACATTTTTTCAATACAAACAATATATAACACATTACATTAAGAAATCAAGGAAATTACTTTCAATGTATACATTAATTTCTTCACTGACACTCTTAGTAAGAAAATCTTCAATCATATTATCAGTTTGTGAATATTCCAACTTAATGACATTGTCCTTTGTTAAGTCCTTCATAAAATGGAAACGTAAGTTCATGTGTCTGGATTTCGTAGAAGATCTGGCACAGTTGATCCACTGGATGGCAGCTTGACTGTCTGTATTCAAGACCACTGCACCATTCAAAAATTGTTTACATTTTAATTCTGATAATAAATTTACAGTTCAAATAATATCCTTACAAATTTCAGAAATAGAAAATAATTCTGCTTCACAAGTAGACAGACTAACACTTCTCTGCTTACGACATTTCCAAGAAATCAATGAATCACCTAGTAAAATAGTACCACCAGAAAATGACTTACCATTTTCTGCATTTCCCCAGCTAGCATCAGCATATGCATTTAAAACTCCAAAATCATTGCTATAAAAAAGTTTATTTTGTGTACCTTTCAAATACCTTAATACCCTTTTAGCCAAAAGATAATGCCTTTTTTCTGGTACGTGATTAAATTGTGACAAATAAGTTGTTACAAATGATATATCAGGACACGTTCTATTCGCTAAATATAAAAAGTTCCCCAATTAATTCCCGATACAAAATTGCATCAATTTTTTCATTTGTACAAGGTAAACCTTTATCTGCCCCTTTAACGATTGACGTTTTTACTGCTCTACAATTTTCCATATTGTGTTTAGTCAATAAAGATTCAATATATTCTGTTTGAGACAAACATATACCATTTTCAAGTTTTTCTATTTGCATTCCCAAAAATTTTGAATTAGTATTTTCATGTAACTCAAATACATTTTTAATTTTAGAAACAATATTTTCAAGCATTTCCTTATTACACAATACAGCTAAATCATCAACATACAAACACAATATAAAAATGTTTTTAGTATCGTTATAAATGAATATACAATTATCAGATGCTAACTGTTCCAGTCCAAGTTTTTCTAATTCAGTTTTTATTTTCATATACCAATTTCTACCCGATTGAGGCAACCCATAAATACTTTTCTTCAATTTACATACTTTTCCTTCTCCAATCAGTTTTTCATAACCAGGTGGAGGAGTCATATACACATCCTCGTTTAAGTCACTGTACAAGTATGCTGTTTTTACATCATAAAATTTAACAGTCAAGTTTAATTTAGCTGAAAGTGCAAGCAATAATCTAAAACATTCAATGTTAACTACTGGTGAATATGATTCGGTATAATCCTTATTTTTTATTTGATTAAACCCAGCCGCTATTTATCTCGCTTTATATTTTACTTCCCCAGAGTCTCCTTCCTTCAAAGTATACATCCACTTACTTTTTACTAATTTTGTTTTTTCAGGCCTATCTACTATTTCCCACACTTTGTGTTTATGTAATGAATCTAATTCAGTTTCCATTGCGGATTTCCAGTCATACCAATTAGCACTTTGTTTTGCTTCTGAAAAATCATTCGGAACATTACTGATTATACTTCACGCTAGTTGTTTTGATTTGAGCCCTCGGATCGTCTTAATGGTATTTTCATTTCCATATTTATTACTTTTTTCATAGCTATCAGATGTTTGGACTTTTATTCCCCCTGTCATCACCCCCGCTAACAATGGCTCATGTCGGCGATTTCGAAATTCGATGAGTCATCATATTCGCTTGCTTGAGTATTTTCCGTAACAACCAATTCAAGGTGTGGCTTTTCACTTTTTATTTTTTGATCTACTTCGTTTCCCTTTCCTTTTAATTCTTCAATATCCCAAGTTTCTAAGGCTTTATTTTCCCCCATATAATTACTACCCTTTAAAGATTCGTTAAATTTAACTGATCGTTCTTCAATTATTTTATTACTTGCTATATCATAAATACGATATCCTTTTCTTTCTCTAGCATATCCTAACATTATCCCTCTTTTCCCTGGTATGTCAAATTTGTTTCGCATTACTTTCGGAATGTGAAAGTATGCCACACATCCAAACTTTTTTAGATAGTTTAATTTGGGTTTTTTACCGGTCCAAATTTCTAAAGGAATTTTTTCTTTTTCTTTCCGGGGTGTTAAATTTGATACTTGAGTACTAAAATTAATTGCTTCTGCCCAGAATTTTACCGGAAGCTCACTCTCATGTAGTAATGTTTACCTGAATGTTTACCTGCCTGGTAAATTTCCCTCACCTCTGGTGTAATATTCTGAAACCAAAAGAAGTCTTTTGCCATGTGTCCAGTTGCACCACTATCAAACAACCAAATTTTATCACATTCATCATTTTTTCCACGCGTAAGTTGAAAAGCAAAATCACTTTCTCTTTTATCAGAACGAGATGAAACGTTCACACTTGTAGGTTGTGACTTCTTTCTTTCTTGTTACCTTTGGATAACTCACTTTTGGGATTCTTGTATCTGTAATAGCAGTCTTTCGCGATGTGACCAGGGCCGTCGGCAAATGTAATCGGCAAATGTAAAATTCTTGGCTTATAGTTTTTATTCCTTCTTGATATGAATGCCTCTGTGTTGTTTCCATCAGGTCGTTTCCCCGTTCGTTGAATTGTGAGTGGACTCTTCCTCATGGAGTATTTTAAGTCATCAATTGTTTTTTCATGCTGAGTTTTTACAATTTCCCTAATTCGAGACAATTTTCCACGAAGTCCACGGACTATGTAAAACACCAGTTCCCGAGGAGATACATCTAATCCTAATGATTGGCACTTAGTTGCTATTCCTCTCGCTCTTGCAATATAATCGTTAGACGACTCATGCAACTTCATTTCTAAATTTTTTAACTCATTACTAGCATCTATTTTTCGATCTTCGGTTTGTCCCGTAAATGTTGACTTTATTTTTTCTCAAAGAATTTTTGCATTCTCTTCTGTGGAGAACTGAAGCACTTGTTGATCCGATAGTGAAAGTTTTATATATGCTACGGTGTCAGCGTTTTTCTCATTCCACAATCTTTCTCATCTAAATTTTCTGGTTTCCCTGTCGAAATTACCGAGTCAAGTCTTTTTCAATGATAAGGCAGCTTTAATTTTCAATGCCCAAATAAAATAGTTCTCTCCAGTTAATTCCGGAACGTTCCACTTCTCCATTTTTGGCTTCCACTAAGACAGTTTCGGTTTCAACTTAGTATTTTATATCCAATTCTTCTTGACAAAACCACAGAGCTGCTACCATTTGTTGTTCAGAGGCCAATATTTAGAGTAAAGAAGCCATCGTAGGACAACACACTTTATTTACATGAATAATGAATAAAAAGATCACACAGGAAATCATACTGAACATCACACAGCAAATAACATCTCACCATCTCCATATGCTCGAAGCTCGAATGACGAATGTGTCGGTAGACAGCTGCGCCATCATAATTAATACGCATGCGCATAAGAAAAAAACGTTCGCTCGCCTCTACCCAACACATTTTTTGGGCAGCCATGCTCTTAATAATTCCTTAGTCAAGCAAAATTGCCATTTTCATATGGCTTCCTTTTGCATTATTACAAGCTCTAATAGTTTTTGTAGACAAGTATGATGTTTAAGTCTTGAATTCAGTTTAAAAGTAATGTTTGTGCAATTTGCCCCAAATGGAAGAAACTCTATAAAAATATCTACAGGAACACAATATTTTGCTTCAAAAGGCCTAAAGGGGGCAATAATGAGATGCATTTAGTAGATAACTAATGTGCAGTGTAAATTTCGTGCAATGTAGTTTTAGTTTCGTGCAGACTTTTTTGCAGACTTTAGACTTATAGGGATTTCCCTCAAAAATGTGATTTTTTTTTAATGTGCCATACAATTCTTATTAATAATTATAATTTGTGTTTTAACTTTTCAAAAAATTTTCTTTTGATATGTTGATAATGCTCACCAAATTGTGATAAATATCGATAGTGCGGGAATGATTTTAAAAATTTGCAAAAATTGCCCAACTTGCGGATGATAAGTTATCTTTACCTTTTTGTCTGTAAAAATTCACTGGATAGCACCATGGTCGTTGCATTAATATGCAAAAACCATATTATATTTTATGATTTTAAAGTATTCAGTTTTAGCTTGTATTGCAGTAACAAGTTAAGCTTATGTTCTTAGATGTTCAGATTTAAATATGTAAATTTTTTTATCACGTAAATATTGTTTTTCCATTTGCAGATCTTAGTTTTTACTAGGCTGTTTCTCAAGATGTCTAAGAAAGAAGTAGTGGTAGTAACTGGTTCCAGTGGCTGTTTAGGGCAGCATATAGTAAAGTTGTTGCAAGAGAAAGATGATAATGTTGAAGAAATACGACTCTTTGATCGAAAACCGTATCAAAATAAATTAGGTATGTGTGAATTACAATAATTTTTACCTATGATTGCAGTGCTGTACTGAAGTGAAGTAAAGGTTTTAAAGCTTTTATTGAATTATTATTATTTTACTATTCCCTATTCTGTAACTAAGCAAATAAAATACTTTGAGCTATTTCATTTCTGTTGTTATAAAGTAAAGAGTCTGTGAGTATGTTAGCATATCACATGCCACATGGGGTAAATGATGGGCCGTTTCACCACATTATTTTTTTGTTATTGAACCAATGTTTATCCCTCCCAACAAAGGTTTGCATAGAGACTTCAAATTACCAAAAGCTGCCCTGAGAAATAGGTATTTTCTGTTTTTTCTTGCCAAAATGCCCTTGGTACTTTATACAGGTTTATGTGCTTTTAATATGTGCCTTAATTTATTGGACATATTTCAAAATCCACATCCATATACTGTCTTAAAGACATTGCAAAAAAATATTCTAGGCTATGAATTTACAGCCTGCCTTGTCAAAGGCTTAATAGCTGTCGTACAAGTTTTTACATGCAATATTTGAAAAATTTGTTAGGTAACTCTCAGTCTTTAAAGTATTTTCTTGCTGAATCTTCTACTTTTCTCTCTACTATATCTTTCAAAATGATCCATTTAAAATTGTGCGACTATTTAATTGCTTTTCTATGCATGAAATGATATTGTATGTGGTACATTAAAATATTTCTATACGTAGCAAATTTCACATTGATTGTCACAGTACTTTGGTATTTTTACATAATCTAAGACACATTACACTGCATGTCAGAGTGGGATGCTGCATTAAAATTTGGCTATATAATCAGTTCAAGTATAAGGTAGTTTATTGTGGTAATTTTGAGATATATTTGTCATGTAAATATCCTGCAAGAATATTTACAGTAAAGTGTGAGGTACTTGTATGCAATATTAAAAAAATATTTGATAAATACAAGATTCCAGTTTTAGAAACCTTCATCTAGAATATCATTAACATCTGTGGTGGCCACTGAGAAGTGTAGCAAAAATTCTCTTAAGATATATGGCAAAAAGTGGTTTCATAATTTACTGAAACTTGTGATGCATCCACTTGTGATACTTTATCACTTTCAGAGAATTCTTAATGCTGAACAAATTATTATTTTTAATTTTAAAATTTCTACATGCCATCTTACTAGATTTAAACTGATGATCTATTATCCGGAAAAATCTTAAGTCGCCGAAGTCCCGACGAGTCTGGATTTCAGACTTTGTACTGTATATGCTTACATATATCAGTTCTTAGACAAGTTGGTACTTGCGTATTTATGCAACCACCTTGGTGCAGTCTGGTTATTTTTTGCAGATGAAAAGGTATAAGCTACTTATTGGGTGAAAGTTGGTGATCTTCACACCTTTTTTTAGAAAGATTCCCAATCTATCGATATTTATCGTAAATCTATAAACATTATCAATATATGAAAAGGAAAGACTTTAACAATTTAAAATACAGATTTAAATAAGGATTATATGATACATTAAAAAAAATAAAACACATTCTTCTTCAGAATCTCTCTATAATTTTTTGGGGTTATTCCTCTTCCGAAAAAATAAAACACTTGCATTCTTCTTCAAATCTCTGTAATTTTTTGTGTCCTATTATTCTTAAGTACACAGTGATCTGTTTTTGCTTAAAAAACGTTGGAGAATTGTGGAGACTCAGCTACATATAGCCCTTCACAACAGTGGCTATCTAGGAAACACATTTCCTTGTTCTCTTTAGAAAATATTTAGCAAAATTTTGTATTCCTTCAGAAATTTTACCACCGTTTCTTCCATTGTTGACAGATTCTGCAAGCTCCTATTTTAAATCTAAGGCAAAATATATCATGATTTATTCATAAAAAAACATCAGAACTTGAAATACAAAAAAGAAAACTTATGAAAATAGCATCATTGTTTGATAAGCATGGTTGCTGGAAGAATGATGATATGCGTTGTTGAAAGAGTTTGGCACATTCTGAAATTTTGACTGCTTCTACTAAGGTTAATATAAGCATTAATATGTAAGTACCAACAAGTTGCGTCTCATGAGTGCTGGATGGTTAAGACTGCTGAATCTGGAAGTTTGACCTGGGTTCAGTCGTGAGTAAATGGGTTGGTTGCATGGTTTGTTAAGATTTTCTGCATGTGTAATTTGAATACAAAACGGTTTGCCTTAGAAAGTCCTCCACAAAGTCATGTATCTCTCTAGGCTGATAGTCATCATGTGTTTTGCCTTATTCAGGCAGCCTGACTGTAGCCAAAATGCAGATCTGCTGCAAAAGGAAGATCTATAAAGTAGAGAGTTTAGAAATCTTGGTACATATAGCCTTCTGCATTTTATAGATTTTGGGATCAATGTCTATGCTGATTTTGTTTTTGTGAACCCTAGCTGAAGTGAAATATTTTGTTCATTGAAAGCAATTTCTTGCTAATTCAGAGTTGTCTTTTGTCAGCGCTTATAACAAAGGAAAATGAAATGCATGTAAATTCTCCGTCATAAGGAATGTGTTTTTACTTGATTAGAGTTTTAGGAAGTTTCTCTACCAGATGGCTCTAAAAATATTTATTCAGTGCCTTTTATTTTTTTATGTTTAAAATCTATATAAGGAATAAAAAGGCACTACATGACATCCCATCTGCCACAGTGTGCTGCATATGGCATTATTTCATAACAAAATATTTTTAGCATTTCCAAATTAGAATATTTTTGGACTTTTGATTTCAGTTTTTGTTGTTTTAATGTTATGTAGAAGTTTTCTTGGGAAAATCTAGTTATTATAAATGCATATTTACTCTATTATAATATAGTAAATGTTTACATTCATAACATTATATTTTGTAAGTTTAGTATGGAGTAGAATGTTATAAAGCAAAAACGTTGAGAGTTAATTTATGTTTTGATTTAAATGGATCTTTGTGTCAAAAAGCTTGCATTTATTCAGTTTTTGTATTGCCATTTTAGATGTATGTATTGGATTTGAAGATATTTTTAATTTTCATTTTGAACCTAATGTAAAAACATTAAACAATTAAGCAATAGCTTACATTAAACAATAGCTAATGAAGTATTATAATAAATTTCTAACATTTTCATTAGGGCACAGTGAAAAGAAACCTATGAAACAGTTTGTTGCAGATGTGCGAGATATGAAGTCAGTACTAGAAGTGCTGTCAGGTGCAGATTGCGTTATTCATGCTGCATGTGTTATAGACGTTCGCCTGTATCCTGATATCAAAGAAATGACATCTACTAACATTGATGGTGAGTTTAACTAGTTTTCTCATTGGAAACCACATAATATATTTATTTATCGATTTATTCAGAATAATGTGGAGTTTCATTTCAATAAAATTAGTAACTAAGTTTAATAAAACTACTAAATGACAAAACATTATTAAAAACCAGCGTCATCAAATTTTACTTTTAAAAGCGTGGAAGTTTATACAAGTGACTGTTCTTATTCTTTTTTGGTAAAGAATATGTGTAATTTATGGTAATATTTGTATGATTTCCCCCCCCCACACACACACACGCAAAGTCTAGGTACCTTGCCTAAATGTGTTATAGAAGTGCAGTGTTTTGAAGTTTTAAATGGTCATTTTGTTTTCTTCCATTTTTGTTATTTTTTGTGACAAATATTATTTTTTAGATTTTAAATGTCATTTTATTGCATAAATGTTGCTCAGTATTTTATTTCTGTTTTTCTGAAGTTGACACTGATCATATTTTAACATCTAAATTTAAATACATAAAATTTTTTCTGAATTTTTTAAGTTATTTCAGTTTAGATTTTAAAAAATAATCTAGAACATATTCTCTCTTGAAATAATTATTTTTTACAAAATTATTAGACCATTATATATATTTATTTATCTAATTTATTCAGAATTTCCGTTTTTGCTGTAATTTTGTTTGATTTATTAACATTAATATGTATTTTAAGTCTCTGTTGTTCATTATTTGATAAATATTGAATTCCATTCAAGTAATCAGTTGATATTCTATTTAATATTCTTTTTCACATCTCTTATGCATATTACTTTAACACTTTAACCCTGCTGGTGGTTGCAAGATTAAGCAGTTCTTTCTTCCCAAATACGTATGATATCTGTCAGTTGCAAATTTGTAGTGGGAGTTGTGTTCATCAGTTGATGGGATAATATGTAAATATCGTAAGATTTAACAACATTGTTTCTGGAATTCTTCATGTTGCTGATAATGCATCTAATGTTACATGTTGCCAGAAAGGCCTTAAATTCAGAACAAATGTAATCTTATGTAAAAGAATACAATAGAATGTAGATCATACTATAATTTATGCATAATAAATGTTTCATTTCTGGGAGGAAAATTAGATTAATACTGATTATACTGTTGATGTCGTGTTGATATTGATATCTGCTAAAACAATTACTGCATGTACTGAGTTAATAGAATTTTTAAAATCTTACCTCTGTACCATAAGTGCAACATATGTGGGTTTGTTATACTTAATGCACATAAAATAAGACAAAAGGTGAATTAGAGTAAAGTTGACTATATGTGTGGGTTAATCTTATGTTTTTAGTTATTGATGCATGTGAAACTGGTAGCGGGTCATGTTTGTAATCTAATCCATCCTTGTGTCCTGTAACTCAGACAAACTTAGCTGTTTCGTCCCAGATTCAATACCTAGCTGAACACTTGGCTGTATATTAATGATTTAAGAGTTTTCTTTGTAAATTAACATATATCTATATTTTAAAACTTAAAATGGGCATTTCAAGGTCATTGCTTCTGTGTTTCTGGTCCACTAGTTGCTTAGTGATTAAAGATGTGAAACACTGGTAATTCATCCCACTGATTAGCTGGAGTGGATGCGTAAGTTGCATGATCTTTTGAGAGGTTGATGGTTTGAGGTGAAAGGGACAAGTTATAACTGCAATTATAGCTCATTCAGAGTTGAAGAAGCTCATACATAACTGTTGGCTGTATAACTTTAAGGCAGGCCACCTGTCAGCAATCATATGCTGTCATAAAATATATTAGGTAGGATGCTGTGAACAAACACACCACTACACATTGGTTCCAGAAGTTCAGGTGCAAAGGTTTCTCATTCCATCTCCTGAATATCCTTCTATCAAGGTTGGAGGAAGCTTTGGGAGATTGTTCTCGTATGGTGTGCATTAATTAATCCATTCTCATAGAAGTTTCTCTGTATCATGTTAAACAGATTAGTCCTTAGTTTCTTTACCATTAGTTAAAAGTAAATCCAAATCCTTACTGCCATGCATAACCATGACCATTAAAGAAGTTACGTTAATTGTGCAGGAAAAGTAAAATCCATTTTTTAATGAAATAGAAACCTAGTAAACTGGCATGGTTTTTTTTTTTTTAAATCATTTTCGTGTCTCAAGCTTAATTTCTTCCTGGAGTGCTGTATCCCGTTTCTTTGAAATCATTCTTTTCAGAGATTTGCGTGTAGCAAAGTTGGTTAGTTCTGTTTTTATAATTATTGCAGTTAACAGACTTTTACTTTTTTTTTAACTTGTTTACACAAGACTTTTACATCAATGCGGAAATAACTACATCTGCTTTTCTTTAAAATCGCATTGACATTTGCAGTGGAGTTGAGGGATTAGAGACCAAAAGTAAATGCTGGTTTGATGATATCTGGAGAAAGTTCCTCCTCCCTCCCCAAATAGACATATAGTTTTCAAGCTGGAGAGAGAATGTAGTATACAGCAGATAAAAATTTTTGCATTGTAAGGACATATTTTTCTGTATGCAGAGCAACAGTATCAATAATTATTTGTGTTTATTAACAACCACATTGAAAATAATACGGAATCCTTATTAATTTGCTTCAAATAATTCTTTGTAACAATTGTACTGTTTTGCTATAAATATCTAATTGAATTTTGAAAACTTCTGTTGAATATTCTTGAGTTCTAATATGTGGCTTCTGTTGACATAAAGTTTAGGAACCCCTAAACTAATGATAGAGCATTTAATACAGAATACAATATTTTATACAATAATGAAATAGAATTGATTTTTTTAGCCAATTTTAGTTTTCATTGTCTTTTTAGTTACTTTTGTGTTTGGAATTTAGTTGTGTTTAGTTGTTTCATTTATTTATTAACATTTCATGATTTATTACTAATATTTCATATGCTTATATTTTATTATACATTTAAGTACTCTGTTCTGTTTCTTAGGTACAAAAAATATTATTGAAGGCTGTGTGAAGCAGAATGTTTCACGTTTATAGTGTTCGCCAGCACTACTGATTTGGTGTGTGGTAGCGAGCATGTTTTTTATGGTACCGAGTCTACAACCCCAATCCCTACTACATTTTATGATTGGGAAATATGGTGAAACAAAGTGTGAAAGTGAAAGACTTGTAGTGAATGCAAGTGGTAAATTATTAGCTGATGGTAAACATTCTTTTATTTATTTATTTTTCAAGAAATATGTTGTTAGTGTTCTAATTAAATTAACGTTGTTAACTTTACAATTCATCTATTTTACAAAGTAACCAAAATAGTTTGTCCTATTTGTGATTGTCAGAAGCAGACATTGAGCAGGATACCCAGCATTAGATCTTGAAGTAATCTCTGTCAGCTCCAGCACATTCTGCCAGTCTTTCTACATCTCTGCCCTAATGATAAAACTCAGAGGTCTTGGATGCAAAGAAGTCTGTGATTGCATTCTATAGGCCTGCCCTATTATCAAAGGATTTTCCACAGAGATGGTTGTTCAGGTTATCGAACAGATGGTAATTTGTGGATGCTAGGTCAAGTGAGCACTATATCTGTCAACCAAGTTGTTCAATGGTATCCTTGGTCATCCTTACCACACATGGTCTTGCATTGTTATGGAGGTATAGCACATCTGTGCAATTAACCAACATTGGCTCCTATTGCAATGCATGTTGTACCCATTGCAACTGCTGTGTGCATAGGTCCTAAGTGAGGGTGTGACCTGGTAGTAGTAGCTCATGTAACTTGTGTCGACTGGCTCATCTGACATTTTGTTTGGTTGCAGAGATGGTCTTGAGATATCAGGTATAGGGTCATGGAGTGACAAGTAACGTCTGGTACCCTTGGGAATGTCATATTGGACCCACCTTCCATCTCTCATGAGTGCTCAATCAAATATGGGTGTGTTGCATTGCTGAGACTGTAGCAACAAATAGGTTGTCATTTGCTGTTTCTTGGCTCCTGATAGTGCATGGAATGCCTATTTACTCACTCTATGCAGTGCTGATGAAGTCTGTTTTTTTTTTCCAGAAACCTGAAAGCAATTGATAGTTCACATGTTTCACTGCTGTCGTTCTTTGTTGCTACCTTCAAGGTCTCGTCTTACAACACCTATCTGCCTACTGCAGGATTCATCATGGAGGCTCAAATCTCATGACCTGAACTTCTGGAACCAATATGTAGTAATGTGTTTGTTCACAGCATCTTGCCTAATACCTAATATATTTTATAACTACATATGGCTGGCTGCTGACAGGTGGCCCGCCTTAAAGTTATACAGCCAACAGCTATGTATGAGCTTCTTCAAGTCTGAACGAGCTATAATTGTAGTTGCACTAAACCTTCATCATTTTGCTGGCATGTGACTCACTTTGTTTGCTTTTTGTGAGCACTTGTTCAAATGGAATATCAAAAATGTTTTTGGATTTTCTTGTAGTACACTCAGTCTGAATGAATGTCTCTCTTTCATAGTTCAATAAAGTGAATGAAATGTCTAGTGTAAAATTTAGTGTAATTGTTGCTGTTGTAATGGAACTTGTGTGAAGTGATTTAAATCTTGCTAATTTTTTGGTATGAGGAAGTTTAAGCTAATAACTTGAATGCAAGAGCACCAGATTATTTTTTGATGTATTCACCTGTCATTGCAATATATTTGTTTTCAGCAATCAAGAAGTTGATTAATTCCGGTTAAGAATAGAAGTCATTTGACTGCATGTTGATCCATTTGTCTGGAGAGTCAATAACATACTCGGTAGAGTGAAAAGTTAAAAAATTTGTTTAGCAGACTGAAAAGATAAGTCTGATGGTACTAAACCTTGACTATTTGGTGTTTGAGATAGAACTTTCCTTTTGAGTTCTGTGGCTGCAATCAGTCATTTTTCTTTGTATTCAGTCATCAAAAAATGGGAAACCCACATCATGGTCACCTTGCTAGATTTAAGACGATCCGTAACTAATATTTCCATCCTACTCACACTTATTTATGTTCCCTTACTGCCTACTCATTTAATTTCGATAGTGATCTGTGATGGTAATTTTCAAATTGGCGCAAAGCAGTGTACTAGTGGCAGTCTTCTTGCCATCATCAGCTTAAATTTGCAATTTATGAGTATATGGTTCATTTCCAGCTGGCCTTCTTTAAAAGATTTGCAAACATATGAAGATACCTCCAAACTGATTTTTTAATCTTGTATTAGTCTGAGATGGAACGGCACCTTTGTGTCTCAAAAACTTAAAGATCATTGTTGAATGTAAATGACCTACCTTCCTCCTACACTTCCATGTTGGTTTCGGCTAATCACCCTGGTGGAAAAAGGGAATGCCCTGCTCTTTAAAAATTTAAACGTGTATATGTTTACTTAGTCATGATTACTTTGAACTCTTTCCTAGAAGAAAACATGAAAACTAGAATATTTGTTGTACTTTTGGAAATAATTTTATGACTGAGAGTGTCTGATAATTAAACTGTAGAGATAATATTTATTTTATAATTTTATAACTGAAAGTATTTGATCATTATTTTATTGCATTCAGATACTGTAATGTTTTTTAATGTAGATTAATAACAGTTTTGATGAAATTTTAATTTTTGCATTGGGTTATAATGGTGCTTTTTGGAAACCTCATAGTTTTTACATAAATCTTGGGGCTTAGGTTATAAAATGCGTGGAATCCTATTGCAGTAAATTAAAAACAGTAAATACTCTTTAAGTTTGAAATTTAATGGATTGTGGTTTAACAATGACAAAAAACTGATTTTCAGAACCAAGTTAAAAATTGCAGCTCGCAGTTAAATGCTGTGCTATTGCAGATATCAGTATTAACAATTCAGAAGCAGTGGCTATATTTTGTATCTTTGCAAAAAATATAAATAAAGTATATGTACCATATATTTTACTTCCTTGTGCCAAGTAAGGGAGGAGGCGTAATCGCAAAAAAACTCCGAGTATCATAATACTCGAGTGCACTCTCGAATCTGAATGATGTTTTTGAACGATACCTGTATGTACAGATGTAATAAAGTACTTCCCCCCAAATTGATTTAAAATGGATTTAGAAGAGATTTTTTCATGATGTCTCGGCATATGTATCTCGCATAACTCAAAAGCAAGTAGCCATAGAGCATTCAAATTTTGTATATGGGATTGCTTGTAATTAGCTGCACCAAACATGTGTATATGTAGATATATATCCAGTGTGTTACATGGCTCTGTGAGCTTAGTTTTTTTTACTCTTATGTATTGGTAAATTGTGTATTTTTTGCTTTAAAAGTGACTGAATTATGTTATTATATTCCAGTTTAGGTCTTTATATAGTTGTAGAGTTATGAACAATTTAAAAGTTGTTTAAATGGTACTAATGAAACTGCCGTTAGGTTATATTTGAAACTCTTAGTATTGATGTGCACCAACATCTGTGCCTTTTAGACCAGTGGAAGCAAAAATTAGCTTTCAATTGTGCACCAAAAATTTGTCTTCCTGCCTCCTTGAAAAGTTATTTATGTACGGACTAAAAAAAGTCCCCTCTTTTTTTTTTTTTTTTTTTACTGCATTTGGTGTTTTTTTATGTGTTTTTCTATAATTTATAATTCTTAATGAAGATGTTAAGTTTTTATCTGTTTTTCTTTGCCGTGAAGTGAGAACTGAATTAATTAAATGAGAAATATATCTCTAATCAAATATGGGGAAATAAGTTTAAATGAAGTACAGCAAAAATGTCTGTAATTTAATAGTCTGTACAAGGAAGTCCTGCATTGTCATCATTAGATACTATCAGTATCTGGCTTGATTCTTCAACTAATGCAGGGCAGTTTATTCTGAAGTTCACAGTGTAAGTTCATTTTCAGAATAGTTAGAGTAATAGAAAAGATGTCTTTTGTAATGCCTTCTGCTATGTAGCTGTATTACCAAATTAGTAATTATTTTTCATGTCATGGAAAGGTGTGTGCTAACTGCATTTTATGGACATTCAGAACTAAATGTTTGCCAGCTGTGTATTGCTAGCAGGGAAATGTATGAAGTGGACATGCCATTCTAATTTTTACGTAGGATGTTTCAATAGTTATGACTTTCCAACAATATTACAATGCAGTTTTTAAACATAATCTTTATTTAATTGAATATACTTATCCCAGGTGAAAAACAATTTTCTTAATTCTTCCTCAAGAACATTTTGAGTGTCTTCTCTCTCCCTCTGTCTTATGGCATCGTTAAACTATCAATTTGTATACTCAAAAGGGTTTTTCAAATGTGGTAACAGTACTCTTCAGAGATGTCGAATAGTATGAATTTTCACACCTTTTTTTCCATGAAAAGAAATTGGTTTGCTCTTTAGATCTTCCATGGTTGCAAAATCAGAGCTGCAAAAATGTGTGTGTTTCAGTCAGACAACTAATAAGACTAAAGAGTATTGCATGGGATAGATGCATAAACATGTCAAAATATTTGTCTCTGATCTATAGTATTGCCTGTATATTCTAGAAACTCTGGAAACATCCCATGTAGATTTTATTCTTTGCGTCAGTTGTGATGAGAATAAAATTAAATAAGTTGAATAAAAGTAGAGTTCATAATCAAGAAAATGTTTGAATGATTAAGGTATGAATTTGTATCAGAAAATAGAAAGTGGTTCCTCTGCAGTTCCTGTACACATTCAGGTGCCAAATGAATTACCTAAGATTGACTTTATTGGTAGATTCCTTTGTGATGTTAAAATGAGTTTATAAAGAAATAAAACTTTTAAAAAATAAAAATTATAATGATCAGTATATATTAATTGTTAGAAATCTTTTTAAATCTTAATTTTTATTTGGTACAAACTTTTTTAAAAACCATAAAAAGTTTTTAAGAAGATTCTATCAGAAGAAGCTGTTTTACATTGTTGTCTTTAAAAAGAATACATTTGGAATTTTTGTTGCATTACATTAAAATGTATGCAGCTTCTGCCCAATTACTGTGCATTTTCTTGTTAGCTTTGCTTTTAGCATAGTTTATAGATTGTGCATTGTGTTGCAATCTTCCTGATTAAAACTGCTTTTTAATCTGTATCATTAGCATGCTAGGATATAAGAAGTTAGAATAGCTTGCTGAGTTCCATATTTCAGATGCATTCAAATTTGTAATATTTTGTAACAGATATTCTCACTTTGGAAAAATTTTTTGTGTATGTCATTCATT